GAGAATATCCAGTCGTTGTGCAACCACATCCTCACTAACCTAAACCATAATTACTAAATAATAATCTCATTACAATTATTTATTTATTATTATATTCATAAATTACCTATAAATAAAAAGTTCGCCAATCCGATTAACAGCTTTTCGATATTTTTGCCCGGATTCACCGAAGTCACGTAGAGAAATACCCATTGAAGTTTCTAAAAAGAAATTTGTAAAATTACAATAATGTTATTGTACATGTTTAGATTTTGAATAAAATGTGTTTGTAATACCGCATATTGCATTCAACGTATGTTCACTAACAAACGATTCTAAATCTTTTACAACTGTGCCTCCTGTATTTTTCAAAGACGTTGTCATGTTTTCACCCTCCGTGATCAAAATCTCAGCATATTGCTCCAAAATTTTATTATAGAATGTGGGAGTTATTATTTTCCGTATTGAACGCCATTTGGCGCCTGAAACATAAACAATAGACATTTCATAAACAAGAAAATTTTTTGTAACTAGAAAAAATTTTTTAAATTATTATTATGTACTTTACCTTCACTAATTAAAATATTATTGCCCATCCATGGACGTAAAACATCATAAAAAAAGTTTTTTCTACTGTGGGCCGTGTTGTGTAATATTGTCTGAAATCACAGAAGATATTCAATTAATTTAGATGCAATGTAAATAATTAATTAGTTGATTTGGAAATTGTCTTATTTGATTATTATCTCTATAAAACTATGAATAAATATATATATTTTCGCAAAATAAAACTAAGCAAAATTATACCTAAATACTTAAATCACTGGTGTATGAACTATAAGAACATTAAACCTCCGTGGTTACACCTATTTTTTCAAACAAGGAAGTCACTCTGGGTCATTTTGACCCGAGACGAACTTTGTTCGTTCGCCATTTGACCATTTATCCACCGATCGTGTTGAAAAAATTCTCGAATGCACCTGCGATATTGCTAAATTGATTGCTATAAAAAAAGAAGTGCCTCAGGAATTTTTAACATATAAAAAAAATTCGCGAAGAATTTGTTTTTTTAACGGTATCTACCTATAGAAGATACTTCAAACTCTTGTAAATGGCGAACCAAGCTCCATTTTAAGCTACGTATTTAGCTGATATTTAGATCCAAATAAGGTTGGGTCAAATTGACCCAGTGTGACCACGGAGAGTTAACAGAAAATTAAATTGTTTAAATATTTTATTACCTGTAAATCGTCCGGATGACGGATGAATACAAAGGGGATAGAGAATCCCCAAAGTTTAACAATTGGATAGTACTGGTCAATTAGACTGATCAGTAACTTCCATTGTTTTTCTAAAAAAATGTATATAATATGAATATACGATAATATTGATAGTAATATATCTTAAACTGAAATGTGTGTGTGTGTTTGTAAATATTACTTTTGCGTATATATGTACAAATTAAGGAAAACGTTTAATTTATGCAAATTTTTGAAAAACTTGAACTTACCTCGTGGGCCTATAAATTGTAGTAGATTTCCAAAAATCGGATAACCTGATGGCCCTGGTATAAGATTGATCAGTCGCCCATTTCGTGATCCATAATGTATATAATAATGATACCCCACAATAAGTATGAATAATACCGTAATGGTGTAAAGAAAAACCATTGTGGCTCTGCAAAAAAGATATGTAGTTGCATATTACAAAATACAAGTTTCTACTTGCACATTTAAAAACTATGAGAAAGCAATGTGCAAGTTTCTACTTGCACACTTAAAAACTATGAGGAAGCAATGTGCAAGTTTCTACTTGCACACTTTTTTTTATGGATAGAGTATCATTAAAGATAGATTGGTGTTGAATTTGGCAATGATCGGTGAAGGGATTACCAATTTTTGCTTAAAAAACGTACAAGTCATACATGTAATCTTATGTATAAGGTATCATTAAAGGAAGGTTGTTTTGAATTTGGCGAAGATTAGTGAAAGTCCACCCTCCTGAGTGACCTTTAGAAGTTTTTAGCCGGGGGTCGTTTTTTATTAAAAAGTTATTAACAAAGAAAGTTTGAAAAATATAGCAATTATTTTAAGTACCTACTGATGAGAGACATAAACGACTAATATTACGTTTTTTTTTTTAAGCAGCGAATACTTTATTTCGTGAGAAAGTCGATGCTTTACCAAAACACAACCCAGCAAACACAGAATACACCGAGTGCGCAATTTGATAGCAAATTGTGCACTCAGTGTATTCTGTGTTTGCTGGGAACATTTAAAGCAGTAAATAATTGTTGATAAATTGAAGTCTTTTTGTTAAAGCAGAGAATACTTTATTTTGCGAAAAAGGCGCTGCTTTACCAAAACACAACATTTAAAGCAGTAAATTATTGATAAATTTTCCGTTTTTAGTGTTGACATAATGTTTTCCGTGAAGTAGAATATCTTCCATAATGTAGAATATCCGTTTCCAAATAGCTTCTTCATTCACATTCGATGTATCATCTCTTTTTAGTATTGTTCATGAAAAATTCAATCGAATCTTATATTTATATATATATATATTGCAGGTTTCTTCAATTTTATTACTTTTATCGCTGATATATCTTCCATAAAGCTCTACTTCCATGAAATTTCTTTTTCATATGCATATTAAATCTTTTGTTTTACATTTTAATCATAAATGTAATAAGCTTTTAAAAGAAATATTTTGTAAAAAAGATTAATCATTAATACAACAATATTACGTCATTCTATATTCTATATAATAATGAGAATTGTAATTTTTTTCAAATTTTTTACATTTTTCTTGATATAGAAAAATCCGCTTAAAAATTGTATTGTTTTCACACTATATTAAATCAATTTTAAAAACAAATTACTAAAAGAGAAAATGTTTCTATACCTGTTTCTGCATCTGTTATCTTTTTCCATCTTTTGCTCATGCTAGTGAATCATGAAAAGTTTAATCTTATCTTCATTGTAGGCTTCCTTTGATGATCATTTATTTCATCATTTTTGTAGCACTAATATAATTATATTTTCTGTGAAGTAGGATTTTTCAATTATATATGTCATATTAGCATAAAAACATATTAATAGCATAAAAATTTATTAAAAATAAATATAGAATTATTTTTAAAATATCTAGAAACTCACATAATTTTCTTTATGTGGCAATGCATAATTAACAATATAATAATATTTATATTGCTAATAAAATAAATATATAATCTTATTTGTATCTATATTGCACATGTTCTATTCCTAATCGTATTGTATATTCATTATTATTGTACATTGTATATGTCGTATATATTAAACGTATTAATTTAACAGAATAATAAAATTCTTTCGCCAGTATATAGAATAACAATTAAAGTAATTTAAATCGACCGTGACTGGCAATATATAACGTCTTTTCGATATGAACATTGAAAAACTGTGAGCCAACTTGGTTTGTCGGATTCACACAGCAATTTTTTCGGATCAATCATCGAGACATTATTAATTTTGACCATGGTTTTGATCAGTTGATGTAAAGACATTATATATTGCCAGTATTAATTTAATTTGCAAAAATACGATAAGCCACTAATTTTATGTTTTATTAATGTTGAATCAAATGCATGCAATAATAAATTAAAAGGAAATTTTAAAGAAGAAAAGATGATACCAAAAATATTAAGAAAATCTATTATATATAATCCTTTTATTTCTATAAATTCTTTGGTAATACTCTTCTCTGATAATGTTACTACCAATAAAATATTTGTTAACATAATATTTATTATTTTAAATTAAAAATTTATTTAAGAAGTGATTAATCTTTTTAAACTAATTTCAATAAAGTTAGGCCCTTTGCATTTTCTTATATTTACATCAAGTTTCTTTCAATAAGAAAACTTTAAGTTAAATAAAATCTCGTACAAATATAAGACAATTAGGTGCTTATTTAAAAAAAGTAAGTATAGAAATTTAAATAAAATTAGTTATGGTTTAGACAAAGTAATATGTGTATAATATTTGCAATTTACATGCGTTAAGCTAGAGTACATAAAATATACAATACCTTATTTGGATACTCTTTAAATATTATTTAAATACTTACAAACTGTAGAAAGATTAGATCTGCATCATATCATTCTCTCAGAAGACATTTTAAGTTAAATTGACATTTGTTTTAGATATCTTATAGAAAAAACCACAGATCAAATCTAGTATTCTTCCCATGTTGAACTAGATTTGCAAATGTTATTCATTATTACAAGTATTTCTCTTGCTCGATGTTATCTTCATGGAGCTTTCTATATCGACTCTTTATAATAAACTCTTCATAGATGTAAGGTATAAACCTGCAAAACCGTAATTCGTAATATCCAGATTTCTTATAAAATAAGTTACATATATAGATTCGTGAATTTTTTTTATATACTCTTTATATAATAATGCAGGGAGCTAAAGAGCCCGATTTTGAATTTTTGTTCTTAAAAACTTATAATAAATAAAATACGGAGTTAAAGTGCAGTTTAACGTGCACTTAGTGCATAAAGTGCATCTGAGTGCACAATTTTCTCTATATCAGATATTTTAAAGTTTTGGTCTCTTTATCTCTATCAAGTCAAATAAAGATATAAGGGCATATATAGTTATATGTATGTTGTAAACTCATTTTTCATGCAAACTACCAGATTTTAAAGCAGTTGACGTAGATCTACCTCTATATCGAAGATGCGAGGGAGACTCACTACCGCTATTTTGCTTCGACTATGACTCGAGGATTTTCTCTCAGCATATTTTAAAGCTTGTGCACGTTTCCTTTCATATTCTAAAATCTTTTGCTGTTTCAATTTTTCATGTTGTCTCTCTCGTTCTTGCTGGCGTTGCCATTCTTGTCTACGTCTCTGCATGCTTTTCGTCTTCGGTTCTTGAACGTAACACTGAATAAGTATCGTGATTTTCACTACGCGTTGATCTTGACTCCTCATTGCCGCGGAAAGTTGTCGAATTAACGTTGTTCAAAATACCGCTTATAAGGATAGGAAACAGTGGTGTGCTGCCATCTGTTAGAATAACTGAATCACTAATTATGTCTTTGAAAGGCTCTAGCGGGACCAACGTAGGTCCTACCCAGGTAGCAGACAGTCGTCATAATGACGTGATTCTAACGTCATATTATGACGTAGGTTACGTCATTTATTCCTAAAGTTTAACGTAAAAATGACGTATTTTTCACGGTCCTAAGTCACATCCCAACGACGTCATTTTCTGACGTTTTGTTGACGGCAAAAATAGGTCTAATGTACGACATACCGGTTTCTAGAAATGTTTTTTTGTAATTAAAATTTTAAAATGTCTACTTGATAAACGTTTACAAAAAAATGTTCTTTTTCTTTAATTAAAAAAAAAAAAGCTTTTTTAACTGTTTCGTTACATGCCATGTGCGTATAGCCGCTCTCAAGGCGGTCACCCATCCTAGCACAGTACCGCGTCCGAGTCGCTTGACTTCGATGATCCAGTGGACAGTGACGATCTTCTCACCCTGATGTTTCCTTATTAACTGTACTTGTCTATAACAGGTACATCTTTAAAGTGTTCAAAAATCTTGTAATGATATCTTTTTGATAGTTATAACACTGCATGAAATAGTTGTCATAAAACTATAATTACACACGCAACTAGATCCACTTATACCATAAATTCACCACGTCGTTCATAAAGTTACGAAACACTATAAATGTAGGAATATTCCTGTGAAAAATACTGTGAAAAATGTCATTTTTACGTTAAACTTTAGGAATAAATGACGTAACATGCGTCATAAAATGACGTAAGAATCACGTCATTATGACGACTGTCTGCTACCTGGGTAGTCAATTAAACGTCTATATAATGTCATTTTACAAAGTCTTTTTGACGTATTAAAACATGACGTTAAATATACGTCACATAATCGACGAATGACGTTACTGACCAATTATGACCAAATATTGACGTCAAAATGACGAGTGCTTGCTACCTGGGTAGTTATATCCCAAAATAGTGTCGCTGCTATACAATGTGGTAGCGTTACCTGGCTTCCGGTTTCTTCACGGAAGTTCGGTTGTTCTTGAGAGAGCGTGCGTTCATTACGCTTCTGTTCGTCGATTGCAGCGGAATTCCAGCTGAAGTATAAAGAGGAACCTGATACATCAGGTGCTAGATTGTATCAGCATATGCTACGGACGAACCAAGAAGACGTCCTTCGCCATTATTCCCGTTATTGAAGGATGTCCGCCATTACGGACGATCTGACGACTGATGGAAATTTCAGAGCCTTGAGGTATAAAGGCATACGGCTGGCGATTGAGATGGAATTCTTCCAATGCAAAGATCCACAAAAAAGGTAACTCTCGTTGTTCAGTGTAAGGAATCATTGATCTTGAGAATGGGCTAAGGTGCTTTAGCTAAACTGCGATCTCTGATTCCAGAACATTCGAGAGCTTCTATATTACGTTTGGATGGTGATCACCAAGAGCGCACCGTATATTTGTGTGGCATTTCGATCCCATCCCCGAGCCTTATTCTCACCTTCAGTGACGAGGTCGGACGAGAAGCTTCCTTCTCGTTGCTAGAGTACTTAAAGTACTATATTAAATTTGGTTGCAACCACGTGTAAGAATATTTTGTATGTGGATAATCAAGGGATTTCACCTTTCGTAAATCATTCGTGTATTGTAAAATCAAGCTATTTACCTGTAGTAAATGATTCTTCAATTGTAAGCTGAATATTAATAATTGTTTGAAAGACACGGCCGTTGTCAGTAAAGCTATATTTCGTCTTTGTAAATATCTCGCGGACTCAATACGATTGATTATAATTATATTGAATTATTTGAATTCTTCCGATACTTTGCGTTGTATATACTTTTCTCTATATTATTAATTATCGTCCCGAAAATACTATTATGTTGTATTTTAGGAAATATTCTCTCTCCGTAAGATCCTCTTTTATTTGACAAAACATGGATAAATGCGTACATACTTCAATTGTGTTGAATTAACAAACAACTCAGATTACGATTGTCATATATTTTCAGAAGCATATCATCTTTATATGCACATTATTATTAACATTTTAGTTTCACAATCTAATTCTGACTGTTCTTTCGAATAATAAGAAGCTTAAAAGTAAAAGATGTATGCATTCTTCCATTACTTATTTACTACTTTATATGATATTTTGTGAATTTATAAGGTCATCGATATTAATAACTTTGTTCGTATTAATGGTCTGTTCAACTGTTTAACTATTCATGAGTGGAATTCATGTAAAATACACTCAACTCTTCATGTTTATAGATCTTCTGTTCTACAGAAATTATATTATTTTATAAACCTTCAACTAATAGATTCTAGTTTAGGATTTCCCTGATAAACTGAAAGATTGCTTTGAGTTGATTGACCATTGATACTAATTTTATGCTGAATTGTTTATTTTATCTTCATGTGATTTGGTATTGATAAGACGTTTTCTTCCTTTATCAGACTTAAGAAATGTTAAAAGTCTTCACGAAACACTCTTCAAAATATATTGACTAAACGACATCAAGTTTCCTAATCCTTAACACCATTACGTAGATCACGATTCATTCGGAACGTGTACAAACGTATTGGATTCACTGTCGGAAATACTAAGCAAAGTGCTGCTGAAATATCCCTACCCTAGTAGAAATATTTCTACAAAATTAAAAAAAAAATAAAAGTGTAGGGGAGACTGGGACTAACTTACCTCTATGAAGTTGGCCGGACAACTTCAACGTATCGAACTTTCATTAATTGGAATCGATTGGTGGTCGTTTGGTGGTTTTTGGTAGTTTAGTCCGATCGTTTGGTGGTTAGTCGTTTTCCTGTAAAATAAAAATGAAATTTCCGGTGTGAAGTTAGCCGGACAATTTTTATTTTTCAACCAATTTAACTTTTTTATAGCTCATTCGACGCGGAATCGTTTGGTGGTCACGAATATCATCATAAAAATGTTTGGTGGTCAACCGTTTTCCCAGAA